ACGCAGTGTGACCGGGGGGGGGGGAGGGGAGGAAAATATACAAGGGTTACTTTAAGTCTGGAGATTTTAAAAAAGTTGTTTTTCCAATGTACGTGTTGCTGTACCGAATAAGGGATGTAAAGGATCAAATGTTAATGGGAACGATTTCTCGATGTAGTTCACCTGATACTGAGTTAAATGCTCAGGTACGTGTAACTGATGATTTCTTGTACCAAATATGGAAAATACAAAAAAAATTTTTGCTAAAAAAGCATTAATTTTGCAAGAGGTGGGTGGGTCTTCTCAAATGCCCCCAGCCCCTCAAAACTTGATAAATGAGTAGCCCCCTCCTCCTCCTTCTTGCGGGATGCACAAACGGCAAGTGGGGAGGAGCTCTTTCCTCGGGCATTCTGCCGAGACAGCCGGCAAGACGCCCCTTTTGACCTCCAGGGTCATTGCGGAATCTTGATTCTACACTGCGGAAGGAGAAGCCACTACATCCTAAGCCAAGGTCCAGGCCCAGAACACACAAAAGAACATAAGAGAGGCCAATGTTGGATCAGGCCAAAGGCCCCTCCAATCCAACACTCTGTATCACACAGTGGCCAGAAATACCAGGTGCCATCAGGAGGAGGTCCAGCAGTGGGGCCAGGATACTAGAAGCCCTCCTACCGTTGCCCCCCCCCCCAAGCACCAAGAATACAGAGCATCCCTTGCCCCAGACTGAGAGTTCCTATCTGTACCTTGTGGCTAACAGCCACCGATTGACCTCTGCTCCAGATGGTCATCCAATTCCCTCTTATAAGAATGTAAGAGAAGCCCATGTTGGATCAGGCCAATGGCCCATCCAGTCCAACACCCTGTCACACAGTGGCCAGAAATACCAGGTGCCATCAGGAGGTCCAGCAGTGGGGCCAAGACACCAGAAGCCCTCCCACTGTTACCCCCTCCCAAAAACCAAGAATACGGAGCATCCCTTGCTCCAGACCGAGAGTTCCTATCTATACCTTGTGGCTAAGAGGCACTGATGGACCTCTGCTCCATATGCTTATCTAATTCCCTCTTGAAGCAGTCCAGGCTTGTAGCTGCCACCACCTCCTGTGGCAGTGAATTCCATGTGTTAATCACTCTTTGGGTGAAGAAGGACTTCCTTTTATCCGTCCTAAACCGACTGCTCAGCAATTTCATGGAGTGCCCACGAGTTCTTGTAAGTTGCCCTTTTCTGCACTTTTTCCAATGCTATAATATCCTTTCTGAGGCGTGGTGACCAGAATTGCACACAGTACTCCAAATGAGGTCGCACCATCGATTTATACAGGGGCATGAGCTGCGGTGGCTCAAGTGGTTAAGACGCTGAACTGCAGGCTGTGGAAGATTGGTAGTTCAGCAGTTCGAGACCCGAGTGTGCCTCATGACGGAGTGAGCTCCCGTCTCTAGTTCCAGCTCCTGCCAACCTAGCAGTTCGAAAGCAAGAATTGCAAGATAAATACTTCGGTGGGAAGGGAACAGCGTTCCGTGCGCCTCGGCGTTTAGTCATTCCGGCCACATGACCATGGAGACGTCTTCGGACAGCGCTGGCTCTTCGGCTTGGAAACGGAGATGAGCACTGCAACCCTGGAGTCAGACTCGGCTGGCTTTCGAGCAAAGGAAACCTTTACCTTTACTATGATGATACTGGCTGATCTGTTTTCAGTTCCCTTCCTAATAATCCCCATCACAGCGTTGGCCTTTTGGAGCAACTTTTGGAGAGAAACAGCCATCTGGAGGTGCAGATCTGAATCCGGCCAAGAGCTCAAGCCCTGCTGCTGGTTCCCCTGGAGAAGGGCGTGGTGTAGCAGTTCCTCACCTGGCAATCATCTCCGGCGTAAGGTCTGTTTCCTGCTTGGTGACGGTGGTACTAAAAGCACTGCCTTTTCTGATCCAGTACGTCTTCATAGTCCTGAAAACAAAACACAAAACTTTGTGGCTAATTCCGTCCAACAAAGAGGCAGCAGACTCCCAAATTCCTATGGCCAGAGAATCCCATGAGAGACATAAGAACATAAGAGAAACCATGTTGGATCAGGCCAATGGCCCATCCAGTCTGATACTCTGCGGACAGCGGTTGGGTGTTGTAAAGCATACAAACAGTGTTACAACTTTGACCCTCTGTTTCAGGATCCAGAGGATGGAAAACTCAATGGCTCAGTGATTCACACATGGAATTCACTGCCACAGGAGGTGGTGGCAGCTACAAGCATCTGTGGCTATTAGCCACAAGATATAGATAGAAACACTCAGTCTGGGGCAAGGGATGCTCTGTATTCTTGGTGCTTGGGGGGCGGGGGCAACAGTGGGAGGGCTTCTAGTGTTCTGGCCCCACTGCTGGACCTCCTGATGGCCCCTGGTATTTTTGGCCACTGTGTAACAGTGTTGGACTTGATGGGCCATTGGCCTGATCCAACATTGGCTTCTCTTGTGTGCTTATGTCCGGGGCAAGGGATGCTCTGTAGTCTTGGTGCTTGGGGGGCGGGGGCAACAGTGGGAGGGCTTCTAGTGTCCTGGCCCCACTGCTGGACCTCCTGATGGTACCTGGTATTTTTGGCCACTCTTGTGACACAGAATGTTGGACTTGATGGGCCACTGGCCTGGTCCAACATTGGCTTCTCTTATGTTCTTATGACCCAGACAATCAATATGATCCCGCGGACAGAAAGCACCAAATCTGGTTTCAAATCCAGACCACAGCCAAAGACTTGCTTGGCCAGTCACAGCCTATGCCTTAGCTTCCCTTCTAACTTTTGTGATACAAGATCAGATCAATAAGCTGTGGGATTTTATGTTATTTACTTGATATGTAAGGACCACTTGTATTTTTATGAACTATAAAACACCGTAGCCGCAAATCACAGTGACAGCTTGTTATCTGGTACACTGTGATTCCCCGTTTGTTTTCAGAACTACTATTACAGGCATGAGCGGGAGCAAATCGCCCAAAGCACATATGGAATCAGCCAGCAAACAGATAAACAAGGCTTTGCAGCACTACGACACTGTCGGGAACAAGCTATTTTAACCATCTTGGCAGAATCAAGTCCCAGGAACGTAGAATGGACTTGGCCAAACTTACACTTCAGCCAGGAGCTTGCGCTTCTTCAGTTCGCTCTTGTCTTTCCCCTCCAGACCGTCGGCCTCCCCCCGCTGCACCTGAAACAGTTTTTCCCTCACCACATCCTGCACGCTCTCCACCTAGAGGGGGGAAAGCAAAGATCTTTGAGAACAGCGTCCAGATGCTCCCGTTCCAAGCAAATGGGAGAAGATGCCACATGGGACCCACCACCCAGGCATTCCCATAGTGCCTTTTCCTACATGTTTAACCAGCTCTAGCACACAGCAGCCCTCGGATA